AGAAAGATCGTTGAGTTTACCTGCCACACAGCTTTCTTCACAAGTATTGTGATCGTCCAGGTGGCCGATCTGCTCATCTGTAAAACCAGGACCAACTCCATTGTGAAACAAGGAATGAAGTATGTATGCACAGATATACATGAGATCTCCAATAACAACTGGGACTTTGGAACCGCCATCTTCCAAATAAACCGGCAAATAAGTCCAGTTTTAACTAGATTAGTCTCCGCTGTTTTATTGATTCTTACATTTATTTATTTCACAGGAACTACGTTCTCATCTTTGGCATCTTTGAGGAGATGGCTCTGGCTGCCTTCCTGTCATACTGCCCAGGCATGGACATTGCCATCAGAATGTACCCTATGAAGTGAGTAAAAACAATGTGATAGGTTTACACTATGACACTGTAATTATACAAATGAACCAAAACACTCAGCAGGCATGAAGATTTTTATGCCTGCTGAGTTGCTACTTTAGAGAAATCGCTATATATTCATATTGCAAAGTTTTGCTATTTCACCAATGTTTTTGTGGCTGCCTAGTTTGCCATCTTTATTTATGCGAAGACAATCATGTCCTTGTATTTTATTAAATGGAGTTTTAGCTTTGTTAATATAAAATAAAATATGTTTATTACTGTCAATTCCACTTTGTAGTAAAGGGTTGCTCTCCTCTAAAAAGAAAATTTAAGACACTTTTAGGCTCATTGGCTCAGAAATTCATACAATCTTGCCAAAGAATATCCAAGAGGACCATAAAACATTTGCATTAATTTGTTTACTTTTCCTGTGGGTGTTGTTTAAATGTTGTGCAGTATATCTATGTGTGCATTATGACATTGAAAGGGATCATGTCCGTATGGTCTCTTCTAGACGTGACCAGTAACAGGAATTTTAAGATCAATACTGACACAAATATTTGGTGATTTCAGAACTGATACTGGCCAATTTTTCTCTTTCAGACAGAAAATATGAACAGCTTTCCTGTTATTTGTTATATGTAGTTATATATGAGTCCTTGATGTGACAATGATGTTTTAAAACAGTCTGTCTTTGTCGTGGATTGCTTGTTTATGCTCTGTCCAACTTTGTTCGGGTTAGCTGGGTTTTGTGTTTGTGGTGTTTCAAATATGTGTTGCCAACAGGGAAGTTGCAGAGTGCCCGCTGGTAGGCAAACTTGCAACATCAATGGTCATAAAATGACTGAAGGCTTTTTTTTCTCCCCATGTCTACCTTAGGCCAATGTGGTGGTTCTGTTCCGTTCCCTACTCCTTCCTCATCTTCATCTATGATGAAGTCAGAAAATATATCCTCAGACGCACCCCAGGAGGTAAGAGCTTCCCAGCTCTTTGTTTTACTTTCTGACACACCTAGGACACATTTTTGTAAACTCTGCATTTAAATATTAGTGTAGGGGAATGCAAAGGTCATAATTTTTTACATTCTATCTAAAGGGTTTGAGAAACCACAAACTGAACATCAGAACAGCAAAAAGTATTAAGAGTGAAAGCTGGAAAAGGTTGATTATTCCAAGAAATGAAAATAAACTGTGTACTGAGGATCAGACTTCAGTTCAGAATTGTACAGGATGTAAATCTAATAATATAAAACCCAAATACACAAACATCTAGCTCATCTAGGGTCATATGACTTCATCCCAGGGTGAATATTAATGGCCTCGCTCATTATATCTTCTCATAAGCAACCCTGAGACCAAACTGACACCCTCAAATGTCCCTGAAGGGTAGAGCTCCTAATAGCATCATCACCAAAATCATGGCTGCAGTTTATCTTCTTTATAATCCCCAGTCAAGTCATTTTTTCCCCAATAACTGTCAGTAAACATAAGCAAAATCAAGTAAAGACAGATAAAAATTAGATAAGTTGGCCACTCTATAATTTTTATTAGAATTTTTTGTTGGATTTCTCTGTAAAAGACAAAAGGAAGCATCTAAACTCTCACATTTGTGGGTGTGTGAATGCACAAGTTGTGTACAGCGCTTTGAGTGCTCAGAAGAGTAGAAAAGAGCTATATAAGAACCAGTCTATTTACCATTTACCACATTTGACATGAAACATCACACTAATTGTGTCTCATTTGATTTCTAGGTTGGGTGGAGTTAGAGACATACTACTGAGCCAACATGACATGGGCTTGAAGGATGTGCGTTTTTCATTACCATTTTATGCAATCTTACATTATTAATATAAATATATATTTATCAGTGTGTGTCACAATAAAGAACTTCTGTTGTACACTGAGGCTGCCTGCATGTTAGTTTCTTTTGTACACACTTTTCT